GTATATATATATATTGTATATATATATAGTTATATATATATATATATATATATATGTATTTATATATATAGGTTACAATCCAGACCCTAAAACCCTAGACTATACCACAAAATGTACAAGCCACGTTGTATATATATCGTTGTATATATATATAGTTATATATATATATATATTTATATAGGTTAAAATCCAGACCCTAAATCCCTAGACTATACCACAAAATGTATACAAAATTAACGCCAAACAGGCCGCAGCGTACTTCACCTGTAGTTGATGGGCAAGGCGTTCTAGTTCGTTCTTGAGTCGAGAGTTTTGTGAGCGCAGATCTTCAAGCTCAGTATTACTCTCATCTATTTTTAGCTCAGTTAGCTTACTCTTGATCACTAATTCTTCCACACTTGCCTCGAGTTTCTTGTTCTGCCTGCAAAGTGAACGCGTTTGTATCGAAATAGACGAGAACACCTGGGTGACTTGGGAGTGTCCGTCAGCGTATACGTATACTTATACATTATGTATCGATACTACTTGTAAATGTATCAATACTTATTGTAAAAGTTTATCAATACTACTTGTTAGTGTAAACACCGCTTGTATACCTTCATACTACTAATTTCCGACTGCTGTTTTTCTTTACCCTCTGGGAAATGACAAAGCTCTTGTACATAAAATGATCACAATACCTTGCCACCACCAAGAAAGTCCGCCATTCAATCAATGGACAGAAGTATTAGGAATTTAGAACATTTAGCGCACACCAAATACAGAAAATTAGGGCAAACCACGTTTTTGGGGGGGGTATAGTTTGGGTTCCTAAATAGCAAGCACTGAGATGGCCTACAATTTGGCTTCGGCGAGTTCGACATCCTTTGCTTGCTGCCCCTCTGCCAGTTGTTTGATCTGTGCGTTCAGGTCGTCGGAATTCGATCGAGCCTATCCATTGCGCAGTGCGAGAAATAGATGTGTATAGTATTAGTGCATGCATAGATGTGCATAGTATAAGTGCAGGCATGAGATGGTGAAGGGTACGTACACGTCCCATTGTGCTATACATGGTATAAAAGGGTATCATGAAACCGCACAGTCAAAAACCCCCCCGGGGTTTTAAACTCTAGCTTGACTCCTCAGCCACTCCATCGACATTAACCTGGTTCATGACTCGTGTTGGGGCTAGCCCTGTCCTACCTCGTTGGTCGTATCGTGTAGTTGCTGCTTAGCCTCGCTCAGCTGCTGTTTGAGATCGTCTATCAGTTTCTCGTCCTTGCTTTGGTTAGCAGTGAATGCGTTGACCTGCGATAGATATGATGTCTGCGCCATGCTGAAGGTCTCGAGCGTCTTGCTCATCTCCACTTCTTTCTCTTGCAGCCGTTCTTTGAGTGCCTGGTGTGTGTGCGAGTGATAGTCTATGTATGTGAAAAGTCTGAATGGTCATGTGTGTGTGTGCGAGTGATAGTCTATGTATGTGAAAAGTTTGAATGATCATATGTGTGTGTGCGAGTGATAGTCTATGTATGTGAAAAGTCTGAAAGGTCATGTGTGTGTGTGAGTGGCAGAGACAATGTATGCGAAAAGTCTGAATGGTCATGTGTGTTTGTGTGCTTGGCAGAGGCAATGTATGTGAAAAGTCTGAATGGTCATGTGTGTGTAAGAGAGTGGCAGAGGCAGTGAACAGTTTGGGTGACATTGATTGTGTGAGTCTACACAAGGTAAATTCTGAACGTTCAAGTGCGTGTGTCATGTAAGACACACTTAAGAGTCTGCTATTTGTGCACGTGAGATTGTATCTATGTGTACATGTGTGTGCGTACAATCCACATGTGATTATTCTGTAGGCAGTTTGGTTGCCTGCATCTGTGTAGTTACATATGAATGTACTATGATCAGTGCATTCCTGGGTGTACAGTCATGTTCATGCGTGATCTTCAACTGTGTAGTTACATATGAATGTACCTCTGATCAGTGCATGCCTGGGTGCACAGTCATGTTCATGTGTGATCTTTGACTGTGTAGTTACATATGAATGTACCTATGATCAGTGCATGCCTGGGTGTACATTCATGTTCATATGTGATCTTTGACTGTGTAGTTACATATGAATGTTCCTATGATCAGTGCATGCCTGGGTGTACAGTCATGTTCATGTGTGATCTTTGACTGTGTAGTTACATATGAATGTACCTATGATCCGTGCATGCCCGGGTGCTGGGCCATGTTCATGTGTGATCTTTGATTGTGTATTTACATATGAATGTACCTATGATCCGTGCATGCCCGGGTGTTGAGCCATGTTCATGTGTGATCTTTGACTGTGTAGTTACATATGAATGTACCTATGATCCGTGCATGCGCGGGTGTTGAGCCATGTTCATGCGTGATCTTCGAGTGACATGGGCGTACCCGTTGTGTGTAAAGATGTGCCTGAGGAGCCGTATGCTAGCTCGTGTGCACAAAATTGTATTCTTGTACGCATGCAATGGTGTGTTTACATCACACACCACTTTCAAGAGGTCAATCCAAACGCTCGTCTCCAAGCCATTCAGTAAACATACCGCATATACACACTTACACACACACACCAGTTACACACACATACAGGAGGCACGCATAATACCTACACATATACACGTATCCGCACACCTCACTCTCAGCCGTTGTCTTGCGTATGCTAGCTTCCATATCCGCTATGCGCGTGTCTCTGAATTTGATCTCCCGTTCCTCTGTTCCTGCTGTGTTGGCCATGTTACTCAGATCCGCTTGCAGACTGCGTACTTCCTCGGCTTTTTTGTCTATTGTGTCTCGCAGTTCCTCGATCTGATTGTATGTTGACGCGTGTGTACATATACTTTGGTCATGGATGTGTACATATACTTTGGTCATGTCTGTGTATATGTTGATGCATGTGTACATATACTTTGGTCATGTCTGTGTATATATTGATGCATGTGTTCATATACTTTGGTCATGGATGTGTATATGTTGATGCATGTGTACATATACTTTTGGTCATGTCTGTGTATATATTGATGTATGTGTTCATATACTTTGGTCATGGATGTGTATATGGCCACTTTGAGTTCTCATTTGCAGAATGGAGGTTAAAGACAAGTTCCTGTGCATTTTTGTTAGCCTTGTCAAAACCCAAAGACTTAAAACCCGGCAGGTACAAAGAGTACGCCGCACAAACACATACATGTGGTGTTTGGGTTCTAGGGTTTAAGATTTTAGAAAACATCATGGACCCCCACACATCGTACCACAGATGAACAGACGCGTGCAAGGACAAAGCCACCACGCGATGCGACTAGGCACAACCACAAGCGTAACACACGCCCGCCTCCCTTGTGCTGCATGAGGCGTAGTTCTATGCATATGCACACAGCTACACCTTTCGACTACTCCTGTGTAAACACCCCCTTATTCGTGCTTGCTTGGGGTATGTATACCGTATACCCGTGTACCGTACACACACCTTGTCCCTATAGGCGTCTATTTGCAGTTGGCTCTGTTGCTGCGCTTGCTTGTGCGTGTGTAGTGTGTGGCTGTGCGTTCGCCTCAGCTGGTCCAGTTCTGTCTGCAAACTGGCAACGGCTTCTCGATAACCCGTTGATCTGTACAGCGTGCGAGCGCAAGCGAAAGTCCGTCATTAGCAACCACGCCCGGGGGTGTAGCAAAGCCATGCCAATACAAGTGAACCTATACTATATTAGGTTCCACATGCGTACACTGTGCATTAAAATATAGGGACTTCATCGTCCAGACCCGTTAACGTTCTGCGCGACATTTCGGAGTATGTCAACAGGTGGAATTAACGTTTTGTTTAGGCTACTGCTAATATCTCCTGCCTGTACAGCACACTCAAAAACATATATACAATTGTTATCAGACTTCCAAATGAATAGATGCACCTACATATGCATATATACACATACAATATAATATATATATATATATATAATATAGCAAAAGTCACATATATACCTGTGTAGCTACATACAATTAATACATAGATAACTAGACTAAAACACAGTTCACTCGCATAGACTTGTTGCCACTTATCTAGCCGCACTTTCAGGGTTGAGCTATGGTAGCTGGGTAATTACTTCCGACGTCTGGCTGATATTTGTATACGATTATATTGTCACAGATTGCAATCCGCTAGAGCAGTAGATTCAGACCCATTACCCGTGTCTTACAGATCTGCTCTTTGACGTCAACGGCTGAAAAGCCGAAGCCATTTCGTAGAGCGCCCAATAACTACTTATACAAAGATTAGGATACACGTACATCCACAAATGAGCATACACTAGTACATCAGATACACCCCCCATTTGGTCACACATACATCCACAATTGAATAGTACATCACATACGCCTCTCGTAACTTTTCCAGCGGCCACCAAGGACAAGCCATGGCTGTGCAGTCTCATCCACAGTGCTCCCGTGTATTGTTTGTACACACTATCAAAAACACAAACAACAGTACAAACAACCCCGTGGCACTGTATCGGAACATATACAAGCACGCCTACATACGCTTCTCGCATCTTCTCGACCTCTTCCTTGGTCGATGAGTCATGGTTGTCCAGGCGGTTCCTCAGGTCTTCGGTGTATTGTTTGGCTTCGTCGAGCAGTTGCTGTGTGGCGTGTAGAGCCTTCTCCGCCTTTTCAGCCCGGACACGCACTGGTTTTAGCCTGCAACACCACATGCATAGAAACATTGAGTGTTTAGAGAGGCGCGGTTGAAGCAGCCGTTCATACACACAGGAACAGCAATAGGTGACAAACATAGCAACGGGCCATAGGTCTTGAGACTAGAACGTGCTACACCATGGCATATGCAGTAGAGCCCTGAGTTGAGTAGGAGGAATTGATATGTCGAATTCGTTGAACAAACAACCACACAAGTGTCAACTCCACCCACCCTTGTAAGAAGATGTATTAAATGAAGCTCCTCATACAACCTCGGCCACCAGACACCTAGATGTTGGACATTTGGTCAGAAAACCCCTAAAACCCTTGTAAGAAGCTCCCCATACAACCTCGGCCACTAGACACCAGGATGCTGGACATTTGGTCAGAGGTGCACCCACATACAATTCTGACACCTACAAATATCTGCTGTCGCTTATCTAAGCCCTACTCGCGCGAGATTGCAGAAGTTGACTCTGCAAACCTTATTGTTCACACAAAAGGTGGCTTAAGTGTCTAGTCTATCGACCTACACACCAGAGGCATGTCCACATGTTTCATCAACCACATGCACATACAAAGCAACACGCGTACCAGTACATCTCCACCCGGATCACTCGCAACCCCCCCAATACATTGTAAGTCACATATCAACATAACAGGTGTAGCACGTACCTGGCCTTCTCGCCCTGCCTGTCGAGTATTAGACGCTGCTCGACGGTCACACAGTGGTCTCTAAACTCCTCAGCGTGTTGTGTCAGCTGTCTAAGATAGCCTTTCAGTTCCTTGATGAATATACCGAACTTCACATTCGATTCCTGCACACAGAACAGAGTGTGATAAGACGATACTCAGTACACGGTATGATAGGACGATACTAGATATAAGCGATGTCCACTGGGATTGTTGTGATTCTAAACCCTAAACCCTAAGCAATAAACCATGAGACGATACTAGATATAAGTGATGTCTACTCGGATTGTTGTGATTAATTACATATGGGGAATAGTACATGGAGATGAACAGAACTGTGAGCGGCGCAGATATATCGACCGACAGCCATACAGACAACAGAACACTCCTGGAAAAGGCATCACCTTCCACCTTAACACGCACATCACGCAATACACTTACATGCACACCCATACACTCCATGCAAACACCTACCTTCCATCTTAACACGCACATCACACACTACACTTACAAGCACACCCACTCCACTCCATGCAAATACCCACCTTCCACAATAACACGCACATCACACACTACACTTACAAGCACACCCATCCCACTGGTTTGCCCACAACCACCTTCCATCTTAACGCGCACATCATACACTACAGTTAGAAGCACACGCACCTTCCACCTGAGCGGGTTCTTCTCGTTCTTTTTGGGAGGCACCACAGTGCGCTCCACAGCCTTCTCGCACTTCAGTATAAGCGACGCCAGGTTGCTCTCATACCCCGCAAGCACAGCTGTGCCTGGGCCTGAGGTGGAGGTGACTATGACCTTGGTAGGCGTCTGCTGCACTATGGTGTTGGGGGGGCGGATGCCTGGGCAGTGGGGGGGGGCGTTGTGGGTTAGTTGTTGGCCACAGAGAGGGAGTACAGTCAATGACTAAGTAACTGATCTAAGCAGTGCTAGGCGTGGGGTAGGGTGGCTGGTTGAGTACAGGTGAGTTGCCCATTGGGTTGTAGGTGAGAGGGCTCGAGTGTAGGAAATACCAACAGATGCGACGCCGTTTAGCTGGATGTGGCCACCACTGTGGCAGTGGGCTTGTGCACCATGCTGTCAGTTGAGTTAATTAACAGTGGCTACGGTGTGTGAATAGATGTTGTATCATGCATATCAGAAGAGTAGACTACTAATAACTCGAACACGTGAATTTGACGGACGCGTGCACGCCTATTAGCAATGCTATGTTCTGGTATTACTAGTATCAGTATGACTTAACTAGTAGCACTAGTATCAGTATGACTTAATTAGTAGTACTAAAATCAGTATGACTGAGCTAGTAGTACTAGTATCAGTATGACTTAACTAGTAGTACTAGTATCAGTATGTCTTAACTAGTAGTACTAGTATCAGTATGACTTAACTAGTAGTACTAGTATCAGTATGACTGAACTAGTAGTACTAGTATCGGGCATTATTATACTTGACTATTACAGTATTGAAAGAAGTTATCCTGTGCTCAATGTACAGGTATGTTGGTGATTAAGGATGCGGCTCATAGACTTGCTACGAAACTGATATACAAACGAATAGTAGGTGATGCATATGTATACACAAATATATGTTCCACCTATAGGTACAATCTAGATGTTTAAGTGTCACTTTTGCACGCACATGCAGTAGTTGTAGCAGTTATGTTCACACCACATCGTCGGTCGAGGCGAGGTCTAAACTTAGATACACACATATATATACACTTGTTGTGTCTGAGATGCATACATACACACACCTGTTGTAACTTCGATACATGCACACACACACACCTGCTGTGTCTTAGATACATGCACATACACACATCTACTATGCCTTACAACCACTAACTCTCGTCCTACCTGATCTCGCCTGTTTGCCGGGTGTCAGCTGCTGCTGCGGTGTTGCCAGTGGTTTGATCTTGGGTGGCGGTAGGCCACTCCACGGCATATCCTCTGACCTACTGACCACACTCGTACGTGACTTCACTACAACTGTGCTTTCCCTCAGCTGTGTTTGTCTCAGCACTGGGTTTGGTTTAGTAGTAACCACTGGGTTTGGTTTAGTAGTAACCACTGGGTTCGGTTCAGCTACATCTTGGTTGTTGTCTGATGCAGTTGCACGGGCGCCGTTTGGGCCACTCCCAGCTGCTATACTCCTGGTTGTATCTATCTGCATATGCTGAGTTTCTACCAGTGGCATACTTGAACATATCGTTGCAGCTGAAGCTTCTACGATGTCTATCGTGTGTCGTTGGATTCCCGACAACTTGGGTTTCTTCAATTGTGCTGTGTTTAGATCTGAGATGGCGTTTTCTTTCGGACCTACATTTTCGTCGTTCACTAACGTGTCCTGGCCCTCTTGCGTCTCAATGTCTTCGTTGAGAGAGACGTCCAGCATAGTCATCTGTTCCGCATCCATATTTGCGGTTGTTGTGTGACCGACTTTGGTTCCCATGCAAATGCAAGTATGGCTGAAAGGTTCTAGAGAATACCAAGTAGTACAACCCACATACGGGGTCCGAATATGTCAAAAAACAAGTATTAAATTTGTATATATATATTATATATATATATCCGATTTAAATCCCCTACGAGGTGCTACGGCGACTGCACCTGCGTGCGCCACACAGTGTGTCGTGTGAGGTTAACAAGTGTATAGCAGCAGCACAGTGTGGTCTGTACGGTCTAACTTACACTTAGCCGTCTATGGGCCTGTGCGTTGAATTATGAATATAAATAAATCTCTGAACTTCTGAAGTTGAGCTTTCCCGCCTTTATTGACCGGCTGATGTATGTAGTCGCACACTTGACCAATGGAATTCCCGTAAAATTTTATACAAAAAAAGCATTCGAATAAAACCCTAAAACCCAACAACTTTTTTTTTAGTATATAAGAAGGCAAGACGAAACTACTCTACAATCTTAACAACATGGATGTAAATAAATACATACCTATGTAGCTAAATAAAAAGTAGTGGTGTTGGCGCGGGAGACTATGTAGACGCGTGAAACTCTACGGTTGTACATACTGATGTACATTTGAATAATTCTTAGGGGGTCTTGTTGGAGGCCTTTTTGACCCATAACCATCTGAAGTATCGGGGCAGAAAAATGGGCCAAACATATCGTCCCGACAAAGCAAATTTTGATACTACCATGTATTAAATCTAAAAAGCATTAAGAGCATGTTCATCTCTCTTGTGTAAATCAGGTGTACATAGATAAATACTATTATAACATAGACAAATACTATTATACGTATGTATTGCACTTATACGCGTGTTTATATATATATAGGTTATTCGGGGCGTTATGGTCACCCATACATAGCGGTGATCTACTCGCGAGTGCACCATAGAAAAGAACAGTTTATTCCTGTTCAGACTATAATGTTCAAGATGACCGCGGGGCGTGTTACCAGCTTACGCTCTCAGTGATATATAAATATATTTTTAGGTATTTATTAATTTTAATAGTGGCAGCCGTTGATGAAGAAATATCCTTTTATAGTACCGGAAAATCACGACACATATCCTAAGCACGTGCTGCAACTATTGGTCCACACTAGAATAGTAATCCTCCACCAGTACCCTTTGTATGACGGAATATAGTTGCACTCTCCCCAGATGACCTTCATATTCTGCTTCCTGTCGAGGAACATGCATCAATCCATACATATACACACACACATATATATATATATAAAATATATATATATATACATACATATGTGTATGTATGTATGTATGTATGTATGTATGTATGTATATATGTATGCATGTATATATATACATATACAATATACAATATAATAATATTATAGTTTATATATAATATAAGTATATGTATATATATATGTATATACACCCACATATATATATATATATATTCATAAATATATATATATATATATTCATAAATATATATATATATATATTCATAATATATATATATATA